GACTTTTTTTTTTAAAGAACAAGAGTAGACGAATCCAACGAGACGTCGCACGTCAAAAAAAATTAAAAACTCGCGGAGCTATGATTTTTCAAAAATAGGCCAAAAAAGGCCTTTTTCGACCCTTTGAAAAAATATATATACATTACAACGAGTAGGCTCGTTAAGAGGTAGATGGGCGATTTTTGAAGTAGCGCGCCATGCGCAAAAGACCCGCGCAGCGAAAAAGAGAGAGAGATAGCTGCGACACGCGGGCTCGAGGAGTACACGTGAGACCGGCAAGCGGGTAGCACGTGTTCGAAGATCGGTCGTTTCCTTTTGTTCGTGTGAGAAATCGGGTGGAGTAGTGACACCGCTGAGTGAGGTTGGACAATTATAAAGGGGAAGCACAGTGATTGAGATTGACATCCTGCCACGACTATCGCACGAGGACGGCGGAATCGCAAGCCACCATCCGAGCGAGGAGACCTGACTCGTCGCCCACAACACACGGGAATCAACTCGCAGGCCTCCCGGCCTCGACAACACTGGGCGACGGCCTTCGCATAATCAGGCCGGAATTATAAGGCGAAGCTGTCTGCAGCAGCGTTCGTCCGCGTAAGTCCCCTCCGATATAATAATATTACGTACGTGAATTCCGATAAGCGAACACACATAAACTGTGCCGACCGCGCGCCACTCGAAATTGTATTGTGTCTCTCTCTCACGCGTGCGTATAAGCAGGCTGTATGCTGCGAATCTCTCGGCCAGTATGGAATGTGCGCCCACGTGTAAATAGCTCGTGAATAAATTAGCTGAGAATATACTAAGAAAATCGGCGAATTCACTCGATAGCCCTGAATTTTCTCTACGTTCCCTTCTCCTGCGCAACGTTTTCTAAGAACCTACAGCCACCGCTCTTTCTTGTTGTTCCGTGCTTTCGCGCTCATTTTCAGGCTGCGCGTCCGGCACAGGGCTGGCCAAAAGAGGTAAATAGCGGTGATAGAAATTTTGTTAACGGACGGCGATATATTTACATAGAAATCAACTACCGTTACAACATATATAAGGCCTTAAAAAAAATTCCGCGGGCGGCAAAAGGCCTCATTTATCATACCCTACCCTAGAAAAAATCGCCGCCACGATCGGCTGACCCCCAACTTCAGCTAAAGTTAAAAAAGTATTGGAATCACCCATATATATATATATATATATATATATATATATCGTGGCGGCGATTTTTTCTAGGGTAGGGTATGATAAATGAGGCCTTTTGCCGCCCGCGGAATTTTATATATATATATATATATATATATATATATATATATATTTAGGCATATATAAAAAGAAAATATCCGTCACCTAACATTATCTTTAGAAAATGTAAGTAATCCAATTAAAGCAAGTGCATATTTGGGTAATTCTAGGCTATTTCGATTGACTTGTAACCCTTAGGTTACGGATTTTTTTTTAATTTGGCACAATTGTTGTACACATAAAACTGAGATTTTTCCCAAATTTTGGAGACGATACATTAATTATATCAAAAGTTATTAACAATTAAAGAAAAATGATAAAAAATTTTCAAACAGCTATATTTTAAAAACTAATAAAGATATCGAAGTCGGATTTTTTTCAAAATACTTATAATGCCTTAAAATTTCGAAATAATTACAACAATAAACAATAAAAATTTTTTTTCGAAAGTTATTAACTTTTTGTTTAAACAATTGCTAATATCTCAAAAAGTATTTTTTTTTTTTGAAAAATTCTTGCTCCTACGTATTCCTGAGGATTTTTGCTATCGAAATCAATCATAAAATTCAAGGGCCCGACATATCGGAAAGCGTAGCCCTAATCAAAAGAAGACGCCTCAGCGTAAGGCTGCGGTAGCGCTCCAGCGGACTCACGGTCGAAAGGTACTTTAGCTTTAATCTAAAAAACTAATAAAGATACCGAATCAGAGTTTTCCCAAATTACTTATAATACCTTGAACTTTCGAAATAATTACAACAATAAACAATAAAAATTTTTTTTCGAAAGTTATTAACTTTTTGTTTAAACAATTGCTAATATCTCAAAAAGTATATTTTTTTTTTGAAAAATTCTTGCTCCTACGTATTCCTGAGGATTTTTGCTATCGAAATCAATCATAAAATTCAAGGGCCCGACATATCGGAAAGCGTAGCCCTAATCAAAAGAAGACGCCTCAGCGTAAGACCACGAAGACGTCCTGCTGTCGTTGCGACGTACACTGAGGCATCTTCTTTTGATTAGGGCTACGCTTTCCGATATGTCGGGCCCTTGAATTTTATGATTGATTTCGATAGCAAAAATCCTCAGGAATACGTAGGAGCAAGAATTTTTCAAAAAAAAAATATACTTTTTGAGATATTAGCAATTGTTTAAACAAAAAGTTAATAACTTTCGAAAAAAAATTTTTATTGTTTATTGTTGTAATTATTTCGAAAGTTCAAGGTATTATAAGTAATTTGGGAAAACTCCGATTCGGTATCTTTATTAGTTTTTTAGATTAAAGCTAAAGTACCTTTCGACCGTGAGTCCGCTGGAGCGCTACCGCAGCCTTACGCCGAGGCGTCTTCTTTTGATTAGGGCTACGCTTTCCGATATGTCGGGCCCTTGAATTTTATGATTGATTTCGATAGCAAAAATCCTCAGGAATACGTAGGAGCAAGAATTTTTCAAAAAAAAAATATACTTTTTGAGATATTAGCAATTGTTTAAACAAAAAGTTAATAACTTTCGAAAAAAAATTTTTATTGTTTATTGTTGTAATTATTTCGAAATTTTAAGGCATTATAAGTATTTTGAAAAAAATCCGACTTCGATATCTTTATTAGTTTTTAAAATATAGCTGTTTGAAAATTTTTTATCATTTTTCTTTAATTGTTAATAACTTTTGATATAATTAATGTATCGTCTCCAAAATTTGGAAAAAATCTCAGTTTTATGTGTACAACAATTGTGCCAAATTAAAAAAAAATCCGTAATCTAAGGGTTACAAGTCAATCGAAATAGCCTAGAATTACCCATTTGTAAGTGACCTGAGTACTCTAATTACGAGGATGGTCCGATAAGTACTTAGCCTCACCGGCCGATGGCGCCACTCTCGCAAAATAAATATTCTATCACGTAGTACAACCTTCTCGATGGTTACTGTCAAGATTTCAGCCGGATCAGAGTTGTAATTTATTTTTGAGAGCGTGTGAAAGCAACTGTGTCCGTTGATTTTTGAAAAATGGAAAAAGAGCAGTATCGGTCGGTGATTCGATTCATGTTTTTTGAAGGGAAATCGGCTACCACGGAGGATAACGTGACAAAAATTTACGATCTCGTATTGGCAGATCGACGATTGAAGGTGCGCGAGATAGCTAAGATTGTAGACATCTCAAAAGACCGTCATGTCCTGCATGAAATTTTGGGGCATGAGAAAGCTGTCGGCGCGATGGGTGCCGCGTTTGCTCACTCCGGACAACAAGCACAACCGTGAGACAACTTCAGAGCAATATCTGACGCTGTTTAAGCGCAATCCGAAGGAGTTTCTGCGTCGTTTCGTGACAGTCGACGAAACATGGATCCACTGGTATACAGCAGAGACCAAGGAACAGTCGAAACAGTGGACTTTACCCGGCGAAAGTGCTCCGAAAAAGGCGAAGACTGCCCCATCGGCCGGAAAGGTGATGGCCTCCGTTTTTGGGATTCACAAGGTCTGATCTACATTAACTACCTGGAGAGGGGCAAAACGGTCACAGGGCTGTACTATGCCGAATTATTGGGCCGATTCGACGTCGAATTGCAGAAAAAACGGCCCCATTTGGCGAAGAAAAAAGTGCTCTTCCACCATGACAACGCACCGGCTCACACCTCCGCCGTCGCCATGGCCAAATTGGTCGAATTAGGCTACGAACTGCTGCCCCATCCACCGTATTCTCCAGATTTAGCCCTGTGCGACTTCTTTTTGTTTCCAAACTTGAAAAAGTCACTCGCCGGGCAGAAATTTGAGTCGAATGAGGAGGTAATTGCTGCCACGGTTAAAGAAGTTGGAGCATCGCTGGGCCAAGTGTATCGAACTAAAAGGAGACTATGGTGAAAAATAAAACGCCACTTTTCCAAAATTTTCGTTTTTCTTTTGTAGGTTAAGTACTTATCGGACCACCCTCGTATATAGTACATGCTGATTTTTGTGGTCCTGTTGACGGTTTTATGTATTTGGTTTTTACCAATCCTCATTCAAAATTAATTTATGTAAAAGAAATGAAGAATATTATAGTAGCTATTACTCTAGAAATATTTATCATTGCAGGAAAGCATGTAGTATTAACTGTTTAGACTTGAGATATCTTACATACCGCCTTTGGTATGCAAGCAATTTTCTTTTTGTTTGATTGTTAGGATGTTAGGAAGGTTGAGAAGAGGTTAAAAAATTTAGTAACGCGCACTAATGGGAAAAAGCCTTCAAGGCATAAAAAACCCATTTTTTTTAGAAAATTAAAAGGAGTATGTCAATTGAAGATGAACAAAGGTTAACCGCAACGACGACACACAAAATAATGCATGAATAGGCACAACGAAAGTTAAGAGAAAAAGAAACAACGAACTGACGATTTCAGTGTACTTTTTTGATCGATCGCAAATACACGCACATTCACTTACTTTACAGGTGGATACGCCAACGACTTTGTTATTTTAATGCCGTTGACTATCAGTGGCAGATATACCGGTCAACGCGGTTGACTACGAAGTTACGTTTGAATCGCTGGCATACGATATTTGTCGGTTATAGTTAAGAAACGCTATTAACCGCAGGAATACGACTAGCTGTTTATTAGTTAATTGCGCAATACGTTGATTTATGTCTTTGTATTTAAGTTGAACTTTCGCTGCAGATAGTTGCACGCGTGCGGCTGCTCTCGACGGCGATTACGGTAGTACTGCCTTGTTCCCTCCAAAAAAACGACCTCATCGACACTTGCTTCGCTGAAAAGAGCGTCAACGAAACTACAAGAGAAAAGTCGCCTTCATGTAAATTACAACGCGCGTACATAGAAACATTGTTACATCGGAACACTAACATATATTAATAATGGATAACGAACATTAATATTTTATATTTGAAACGCGTTTTCTAAAAAAAATTTACATCGAAACAATTATCGGAATGGATTAAAAAATTTGTAATTTTGACTGCTGAAAACTCTATAATTCAGATTTTCCAATTTCGAAACATTTTCCTTTGATCAATTCTAAATTCGGATTTATCATATTACGTAGGTACTTTTATTTTAGTTATTGTATAAATGAGATACATTTCACTTGATAACTATAAATTTATCTTTAGTTAGTTAGTTATTGGAATCGGTGTTAGTCAACTTTTAAATATTACATATATAACGGAACTTTTCTAAATGAGTATTAATGTCTTCAAAATTCTAATTTGGTTTGATTCAAGTTTTTTACAGACTGAAAGTCTACACAGCCTTCTTAAATAAATATCAACCACATCAAATGTTTCTTAGTTATATTTGAAATGTGTCTATTTGAAAAAGAGTGAATGAATGTTTTGTGAAAACTGCAATAATTAGATTGAACACAAATCAATATTAAAAGAGCACCAATGGTGACAAAATTACAAGATCCAAACTCCCTGTCAAAGCATATCAAAACTTTATTAATTTTTATTCAATATTTAGTTTTTAATAATAATGAAGGTCATTTTCCTTAGTTTGTAATACAAAGAAGATCTAATCACCGTGATATTTTAAGTGATATATTAAAATAAAAAAATTATATTCAATTTTTAAAACCTAATTATTGCATACTAATAATTAATACAAAGAAAATTGGAATCCTTGTACCTAATTGTAACATTTATTCAAAGTGAAACACAAAGACATTGTAATGTTTTCAATTTTCATACTAACAATTTTGCTTATGGGTGAGTATAATTACTGTCTTCAAATATTTTAGATTACTTGAACATTGATCTGTTATCAAAGCAGCAAACAATATCAAATTAGCTTTTTCTCTGAGAATTTTCAAAAATTTGTTTGTAATACCCATACAAATGAATAATTATTATCCAAAAGCTCTTCAATAACTACCTAAAAATAATAATTTCAATGTTACCTGTATGTTAACTGTAATGAATTCTTCAAATTTTCTTAAAGTAAATGGAAAACATAACATGTAAAAATACAATGAAGTACCTACTACTAAAATGTAGACGAAATCTCAGGTCACTCACCGAGGAATATTGGGAATTATGAGGTTCGAAACTCGCTTAAGTGGAGGATGAAAAAGACGATCTGATCCTTTGTTTCCATCAAGCTCGAATTTTCTTTTAACTGCACTCATATTAGCACCAAGACAACTTGGTCGAATAGCTATTGGGCTTAAGCTCCGTCTAAAAAAAAATCAATCCTTAAATAATCAATTAAATAAACTAATGCCTATAATATCAATTAATAAAACAGCTGTACCTTGTAGCAAAAGCTTTTCTAGTAGGGCTAGGTGATAAGGAACTATTTTTCCATGTAACCACATGAAAATTTGGAGAATAACAATGTTGTTCATTCATATTTTTCTGACTCGGTGAAAGTGAGGCCTGAGATGGAATTTTTCCTGATCTATTCAAGCTGAAGAAATCGGATGTCTTCTTGGAAATCATTTTTTTTTCTGTTTTTAGTTGTGACAGTACTTTTGATGAATTAGACAAAATTGATGATGACGATTCTGCCGAAGAATCTTTAAATGAAAGACCTTCTGTTTCAAATGTTAAATCTTCCCATGATTGAGAAATTTGCATTGTACTATGAATTTCTTTCTCATGTGCTGCTTCTCGTCCAGCTACTGCATCTATGCACTCTTCCTGTCTAAGTTGATTAACACGTAACGTAAATTTAGGTACTGTTCCTATTGAGTTATTCTGCAAATTAAAACAAGCCCTACATCTTAAGAAATGTTATACGACTACCTTAAAATTTGTTGATTTATCTGCAATTTCAGATTTTCAATTATACTATTGCTATCATTAAAAGGTATAAATAAAATGTAATAATTTAAGTTGCTAAAATATTTTAGTGGTGAATATAATTGTGATATATACATTAGTGTACACATATGTATATATTATGGATGCTATTATTAAAAACTATGTTTACATAAATAAGACATTATAATACTAACACTCATACTGGTACTAAATCTTCTGATTCTAGGTATGCTAGAAAATATATTGAATGTTGAGACTGTATCTCTAAAATAGAAGCAAATCTACATTATTCAATATTATTCAAAGACTAGTTGACAAATGGAATAATTTTGGTTCACCTCAACATTGGAGAAATAGTTATAGAGGGAGAATCTATTGATGTAATTGTACTGATTTCATTAATTACTGGAGCACTACTGGATCTCTTAAGATTAGTCTGCATAGAACAATTGATATTGATACTTTTTTGTCTTGGATGCTGGATATTGTTCAGAAACATTTTTATTATTTTTAGAAAAATCTTAATCTATAATCCACAAGTTTTATAAAATAATTCTCATAATATTCTGTCACCGATAAATCATTACTTATTCATTGCTCTGAATAGTTCACCTGATACATATGAATCTGTAATAAATGATATAAATATACCTTTCAAATGTTAAATAAAATGATCAAATTATTAAAACAATCATATTTACAATCAAAACTCACATAAAGAATTCTAGTTTATTTACATATTTCTTATATATGTATACATTGTTCACATATATAATTAATTAAATTATTGAATATCAGAGTAGCATAAATTATTTTTATTTTCAAATGTAATTTTATGTAAGTTGTGTCATTCAATAGTTCGTTTATTTCAAATATAGTATAAGAATTATAAGTTTGTCTCAAATCAAAATAAATAATAAATAAGCTACATCTATTATGGCTAAACTTTTGTATCTATAAGTTATCGCTATGATGATTTACCAAGTAAGTTTGGAAAATGAATAATCAATAAACTTTTTTTCTCATAAAATGTTAATTGACATAATTTTGCATGAGATGTCAGATCAGATATTGAAAATCAGATTAAAATAATAATTACATACTATTTTACATTACTAACAGTTAAGCGACAACAAGTATATTTAAACTCACCTTGTAACAACTGCTAACATTATGTAAATTTCAGTATTCAAGTATGAAAATTAATCAAATATGAGAATAAAAAATATTTTACCGAATATAGTTAATTTGATATAATTAGTTTGTCATGAGGCAAAAACGTTAATTATCAAATAAATGCTTAAATGTACAAGCATATTTTTAGTTATAAATAAATTTTTAAGCAACCAAGTATATCGATAACCGGTAGTCAGAACGTAATTTTTATTTATAATCTAAAATTTAATCAATCAGACCATCTCCGAAAACAATTAATAAAGATCAATGATGACATTATACCAATTATTGGTGTGAAAAGAAAATTAGAACTCTGTACGAAGTAGAAGTAGGGTTGTAATTTTGAGTTTATAAATAACAAAAGCATATAAATTATAAGTCACCATTGAATTTGTAATATTTCGTAAAATAGCAAAAGGGAGGTATATGTAGATATATAGCTCTGTAATTGAACGTCCGTTTATCGATTCGATTATTTGTAGAATATCTAATAACACTACCGGCCTCGTTCTAACCTACTTAATTGATGGAAAATTAAATATGAAAATGGTGTTTAACAAATTTCAGTTTTCCCAATTAAAATATAAAATCTAATTGATTTGCCTAGTTACATTTTATCCATAAAAGGATTAACAATAATGATCTCTATTTTCTTTATTTATCGATAATTTTAAATCGAGTATTTTTTTTAAATTGACCTCACTTTGTTTTATTATGGCCAATTAAAGAACACCAATAATGTTGAATTATTTTTATTAATATATATTAACTAATATCGAGCTACCTAAAACTTTTTAATTATGCGCATTTTGCGCATGCGTAACAGTAAAATTTGGATTCTGATATATCGATGTCTCAAGACAAAATATATAGTCATTTAATATAGAAGGCAAAGAAGACTGAAGCCCATAGAAAACGTCTTAGTTGATAATTTTAATTACAAACAAATACGATTTTATACTAAAAAAACTTCGTTGAACAAAAAAATAACATTACGTTGTCGTTAACACTTTTGGCTATTTCGTTTGGTTCGTCGTGGGCAGTTGCAATGTGAAATGGAATGATAGATCGAAAAAAGGTTTCAAGAGTACGAGTTAGCTAGGGCCCCTATTCTGCCCTCTACACTCCGAATTAAGTGTGCAATAAAGTATGCTTGGTCGCGCACGACTGCGGTTAGTGCGGTTTCCGACGGTTACGTTCACTTGCAAAGCGAAAGATACCCATCTTACCCCAGCTGGCGAATTATATTAAAAATTAAAAAAAATACCAGTCAAAACATCTCTAACTGTACCTGCCAAATATGTAAATAACTTAAACTGTATCCTTCTAGTTATTAAGAAAAATAATAAAAACTAATGCGTTTTGTGAGTTGTTGCAAGGGCGATAATATCCTAATTAAGCAATATTTTTACGATCTACGTATACCAAAAAACTCTACCCCGACTCATCTAAACTACAACTTCTTTACTTTTTGGAAATCATTAATATAAATAGAAAATAATTAATGAAAACCGTTCTTTCATTAACTATGCAACAGTAATGGTCAGAGAGCATGCGCAAATCACGACAGGAAAGCGGGAAAACTAAGCTGCATTAAATTTGCGTTAAAATATCAATTTATTAACGACTTCATGTGTAGGATCTTATTAAACTGTAGTACAAGTACAATGTGATAATGACTCAAATTGTATCTATTTAATTATTAAATAAAATTAATTACAAAATAAAAATTAATACTAGCTTTACGAGATATTGTGAGCAATATATTTTCGTTAATTATGAATATTTTATGATACAAAACCACCAATAACTGTACCCAGGCTGATCTTTAATTGCACTTTCTTTACTTTTTCGAAATCATCGATATAAATAGCAAAAAATTAATAAAAACCGAACTTTTAATAGCTATATAACAATAATGCTTTACTTTAACACTAGATAGCGGTGGGTCTTTCTCCGAGTCATTGATATGTTAGCAGTGATCAGCGATAAGCATTCGGTCACCCATCCCAAACTTCTTTTTCTCCTATTCTAAACGCATCTAGGTCTATTGTACACTTGTGTCTGTTCTATCATTATACCGTGTCCGAATTTCGCGTTTCAAATTAGTTTTATTCAAAAGCGGGAAAATAAGAAAATTCTCCATTGTACAATATATAAATATTGTTTGGTCACCACATATTAAATTAATGTTAGCCTCGGGAAGTATTGATTATATATTTTCAAGTACAATTCGATATGTAGCCTAGTAGTAACTAGTAAGAGTAAAAGTCCTAAGAAAGAAGTATTGTAACAAATATAATTTATATTCTCATAATATTTTTTGAAGAATTAAGAAAAATGTAAACATATCATAAAGTGTTAAATCCTAATTAGTTTATTCTTATTTGAGCTCTGTAAATTCATATATAGATCATATGATAAATTTAGTAAATTATAATTCTTGTTTGAAACATTTTCTTTATTATAGCTAGAACAGCTGACAATAAATGAGTCAATAAATATAAGATAATTATATCTAGAGCATAATACAGAATTGAAATTGCCAGAGCAAATTGAACAGAATGGAAATAGTTGATTTCGGTCCAAACAGAGTCTAATACTGAAAATGTTGAAAGTAATTGTGAAACAGTGTCAAAGTATGTTTAATTATTAAAATTTTATAGATTGATATTTATTGTTTTTAATTCTTTTTTAATTTAGATATTACAAGTCTGAACCAAATGCTAAAGTATCAAAACATACTGCTGTCGATAACAGTAACAAAGTCAACTCTTTATATTCTGTTCAATTTGCTCTAGAAATTTTAATTTGCATTACGCTTTAGACATTGTATAGGTACAATAAAGAATTTAAAATGTTTCAAACAAGAATTATAATTTACTAAATTTACCATATAATCTATGGACTTACAGAGCTCAAATAAGAATAAACTAATTAGGATTTGACAATTTATGACATGTTTACATTTTTCTTAATTCTTCAAAAAATATTTTGAGAATATAACCAACACAGCATATAATATTTCAGTGAAAAATTCCATGAAATATTTCAAAGAAACCTTCTGAAAATATTTCAGGAAGGTTTCGGAAAGTTATTTAAAATATTTCAGTGAACTATTTCGACAAATCCTTCAAAAACCTTGCAGAACCTTTCACGGAAATGTTATTTATTAAGTTTTGAAATATTTTGATGAAACCTTGCAGGAAACTTGCAGAAATATTGCAAGAAATATTTCAGGAAAGATTTCAAGGAAGTTCCAGGGAATATTTCTGGAACCTTGCGGAAACCTTTCACTGAAATATTGTTTGTTACGCTTCAAAATATGTCGGTGAAACCTTGCAGGAAACTTGCACAAACATTGCAAGAAATATTTCAGGAAAGATTTCAAGAAAGTTTCAGGGAATATTTCAAAATCCTTGCAGAAACATTGCAAGAAATATTTTGAGGAAAGATTTGAGGTAAGTTGCTGAGAATATTTGTAGAATTATTGCCATATATTTCGGTAATAGTAGCTAAAATACTTCGTGGAAATGTTTCTGAAATCACAATTGTATTATACGTCTCTTTCTCGTGATCAACTATGTAGTCCTCTCGACTTTAGATCGATCCGGGCCGATATTCACAATATTTTAAAGCTCCAAACTAAAGACCGTTTGATAGGACGTCCCCAGCGCCCTCCCACGGCCCTTGTAAGTATCCGGCAAGCGCTCGCGCTCTCATTCTTTCACTTTGTGTCGAACTGCTTGGTTCGTCATCAAAACAGTCCTCGGTTTTTTCTTTCAAGTTGGGTCGCAGACTTCATTCCCCTTCTAATGAGTGTAGTTCCTATGAAGATCTCTTAAAAGACGAACTTATTCATCTGTTAAAAAAGAGGAAAAGAAGACAAGAGCTCAAACAAGGCAAAAAATCTCGCGAATCTTGGAGGAACAGATCGTCTCGACGATCACCGCACTCACCACACAGACATCGGCGTAAATTATCAGGTTCTCATTGTAAGTACATCAGCTATTAATGGTATTCTCACTTTTAGTAAAAAACAGGAACGAGACAACATACACACAATCCTGATATCACGCTGCTTGCTCTGCCATTACCGGCATACGGTCAGGTATTTACCGAACCTGTGAGCGCACCAAAATTGTGCAAATATTTCTCGTACGCTCTAATCCACCCAGAAAAGTTAACGAATATTCGTTCTAGATAAGCCTCGTGACGTTTATGTCGCTATAAGCGCAATACACACAAGGAGAGCACACGTCACGGGCTCTAACCGGCGAGGCAGTGCAATTCGACTCCTCCTTAAAGTAAACAAGTGTCGAATTCATCGGTCTAAAAGACACGATTCTCAGAAAAAGAGACAATTAACGCCCTAAACTCTAAGTTTGTAGCGCGGCCTTCCTAGAACTGAATCAATATATTTTCAAATGGCTTAAGTCAAAGGTAACCTCTAATGAGTGCATAGTTATTTCAAATTGTAATGCACGCATGTCTCTTTCAGCTCGTAGCAGGAGCTACTCGAGTAGCTCATCGAGCTCTGAAAACAACTCTTGTTTTGCCGTACTACCGTGTTTACACAAAAATCTGTGCAGCGACAACTGTAAGGATAAAAAACTCCTTTTTCTTACTTGTAATCAGCCATATAAAGCTGTCACAACTGCAACATTAGGTCACTGAGTTAAAGATATCTTACATAAAAGTGGCTTGGATATCAACATCTTTTCAGCTCACTCCACGCGACACGCGTCGACTTCGGCGACGAAAAGGAAGGGTGTCGATATAAACACGCTCAGAAAGACAGCAAGTTGGACACAAGCCTCTAATACGTTTGCAAGATTTTATGATCGTGAAATTTTTGTCGACAAGAACACTTTTGCGAATGCTATAGTTAATATTTAACGTTTAAATGCGGATATTATATTGGAATGCGACCCTCCTTCGTTTCTTTTATGTGTTTATTATATATCTCTAACATAAATAAAAACCATAAGGACCATACAATTTTATTATTTAACGCAATTTTCCTTCTCTTTATCGTTGCAACTGCTTTGAACATCTACATAGTTGATCACTTCGGAAGAGGCGTTCATACAATTATGATAGAACTTCACTTACAGGTAAGTTCGTACAATCATATAATTTTTCACATTACATTTCGCAATACGTTTAGGATTCATTTCTGGAAATATATTTCTTGATGATTTTAGAATATTTGTAATAATATTTGAACAAAATATAATTTTTTTCAAAGAAATGAAAAACACAACTTTTCCGAAAAACTTTTCAGCAATCTTGTAGAAACATTGCAAGAAATATTTCAGCAAAGATTTCAAGGAAGTTTCAGGGAATATTTCTGGAGCCTTGCAGAAACCTTTCACTGAAATATTATTTGTTACGTTTCAAAATATCGGTGAATCTTTACAGGAAACTTGCAGAAACATCGCAAGAAATATTTCATGAAAGATTTCAAGGAAGTTTCAGGGAATATTTCAAAATCCTTGCAGAAACATGGCAAGAAATATTTCAGGAAAGATTTCAATGAAGTTGCTGGGAATATCTCTAAAAGTCTTGCTAAGATATTTTTCAAATAATTACTGAAATATTCATGGGAAATGTTTTTGAAATCGTGCCACAATTTTTCAAATAACATTTTGCAATACATTTAGAAAAAGTGTCTATAAATATCAATGTTTAAGAAATATTCCATTTGTGGCAGGGAATTTCGGGCGTGTTAACCGCGCTCCGAGTTCTTCCGCCACAAGGCCTGT